CTTGGGACTAATTCATAACTATTTGGCACATCATGCGCGACGAGCATCGAGTATTGGATTCGTCGTGTATTTTCAGGTAAATATTCGGGAATTCTCGGCAGACGAGAGGAAAGCTCTGCATGACCAGCTGCCCGAAGTGGAATCCGCCATCTCCAGTGAGTGGACATTTGGTTTGGTGGAGGACATGATACAGCAAACACCTCCTCCGACCAGACCATTATCCCACACTTGAATACACATAGAGGGCTTATGCAAGGGTTATTCCTTCACCCCCCCCCCAAAAAAAAAAAAATGTTCCGCAAGGAGACAAGGGAGATCAGACAAAGTATAATGGAAGAGAGGGGGCAACAAACAGAAAGTCAAAGGGGGAAATCTTTCGTGTAGCGGTGAACATGGGAATGACGTGGGAGTTTGAGACAAACAGACGGGGATAAGAGAGATCAGGTGGGTGCCGCCGAGGAAGACAGGTGGAGGATGGATGACGGACAAACGGGAAACGTCGGGAGGCGTGAAAGGTTTGACTAAGGGGATACATGTGGAATAGCGCTGGAGGCACTACGTGGAAGATGGCAGGGATAGACGGGTGAGGAAAGTGTGCTGGTTGAAGAAGTACGAACGACGAGAAAAGAACGGCTGGAGCGCGAAAGTAAAAGGAGTTGATGCGGAAACGATGGGAAAGTAGAGAATGACAACAGACACATCGACACTAACAAGGTCACCATCACAGGCAACGACGACACAAGGCGCATGAGGCATGCCCAGTGGTGGAGAGGAGACTCAACAACGGGGATTCCCCTGTCCTCCGAAGGATGTGAGCTCATCCTGTTGCCACCCGCCACCCCCTCCGTATCCCCACCTCATATACATTCCTCCCTCCCCCTTCCCCCCTTCCCTTCCCTTATCCTAGGCGGATATAGCAGCACCTATTAGTAAAAATCGCCTCGATCCCTCTCACCCTCGAAAAGCGGTGGATGAATCCGCTCCAAGGGGTGTGGAACCCAGATACATGCTTAACATCTGATGGTATGTGACAACGTTTTTAGAGTTCGTTGACCGAACTGCTCTCAGGGATTTGGTATCCAAGCACACTCTTAACGACTGTTTGAAGAACGATATGTTTTTTTAGGGATACCATTGGAAAACGGTTGACGATGCCACGTGTGCACTCCTGAGGCACAAGCAAAATAACGATAGCTCAGAGGGTTATAAAGGAATTGAGGAGCGATTGGGATGGAAATACGTGCACCTGTCAAGAATGGGAAAAAGAGGTGCACAAGGGCGGGGGTTACCGTTCCATAAAACCCGTGGGTGGTCCTAATCGTCACCCGGGTCTGTTGTCACACCTCGTCATGAACGTCGGGGGATTCATGAACGCCTTTGCCATTGGAGGCCGATAGCACGGCATGCCCATCCAATCGAAACGGCCACGCAGGGTCGTACGGGTGGGGGAAGGGGACCCTGCCGTCACCCCCCAGTGCCCACACGACCACCCATTCAACAACGCCTTCAACCCCTGGTCATGGTCAACCAATGACCGGATCTATGACTTGGGCGACCAAACTTAAGAGCACAAGGGTTGAGACAGTGCTCCCTCCAGGACAGGCTATGCACACGGCTCGCCCATCGCTTATCTCTCTCCTGGCACCGCCACTTCAACAAACGACCACTGACTTGCTTCCATTCGACCTAATTCACCCCACAAGGAGCCACTTTATCCAAAAACTCTTTGTGAAACCGGATAAGACACATCAAGAAAGCAGGGGATTTATACGACCCCTCTATAGATTATCGGTACAGGCAGTGGCTAAGAGAAACACCATCTATTCCACCCACGCTGTACAATTTCACTTTCACAGGGACTCGGATACCATAGCAATGAACGACAAGCTTCAATGGATCAAGTGGCTCCTGGGGTCTTTTAAATTCTCTGCGAGGGACGTTGATGATCATTTTGTTATTGAGTCAGCGGGAGTGAGCATGGTCACTGTTATCTCCCTCTATCTTGGCGACCATGCTCGTCTACTCAAATGAAAAACCTGAAGTTCAAGGGCCAGTCTGTGGCGGTGGAGAAGTGGAAGCCGACAGAGCCCCTTACGGCGGACGATCGCAAAAAACAGATTATGCAAAGCAACTTTTGGGTTGAGTTTCGGTTTGCACTGTTGGCTGTCCGGGGAGCAATCATTAAGGATCTACAAACACCGACCCCAATGAAAGGCTTTGTTAACGACCTCCCCTCTTTTCTGGCAAAGGGGGATGGCAATTTATTGGTGGCGGCTCAATGGGATCCAGTAAATGCCTTCCCCATTGCGGATTCTTGGGATTATATATACGGGGGTCAAGTTATCTCCATCCCAGTTAGCCATACCCAGGATCCTTCACGTTGGTGTTATGCCTGCAAAGACAAGGGCCACCTCTGCACCGATCCCTCCTGCCCTGAGTCTAGGAAAAAAATGATAAAAGGAGTGATTACCCCACACCCGACAGAAGAACGAACGTGGCTGCCTTTAGACAACACGTTAGAGGGATGGGTTTTTGTGCAGGGGGAGACGGGCAAACCATGAACATGATTCTCGAGGGGCACAGATCGGCCCTCCAAAAATCCTAAGACCTCGGCCAGAAGAGTGCATGAACCACCAACGGTAAACTGGGGCACATGACGGTTGGTGCCGCAACACGCAACACCTGCCCCAGTTAACCACAACCACCAGCCGCAGGAGGAGGAGGTGGAGCAGGAAAGTGACCTCTCCCTCCACGGGCGACACTGCAGGGCGTTGCAATGGCAGAAGATACTCAACACGAAGAGGAAAACTTTATTCACCAACTGCTGCAGCAGGGCCTTGGGAAAGGCAATAAGCGCCTAAAACCACCAGCGGTAAACCGGGGCACACAATGGTTGGTGCCGCAACACGCAACACCTGCCCCAGTTAACCATAACCACCAGCTCCAGGAGGAGGAGTTGGAGCAGGAAAGTCACCTCTCCCTCCACCGGCGACGTTGCAACCCACAAACGAAACAACAGGGTGTTGCAATAGCAAAAGACGCACAACACGAAGAGGAAAACTTCATTCACCAACTGTTGAAGCAGGGCCCTGGGAAAGGCAACAGGCACCCAAATCTACGGGACAAGGAAACTGTGAAAGAAGTTGTTTCCTCACAACTTCAGCAAACTAATGGCAGTGTTGGATCTCTTCTCCCTGGTTCCTCGTTGGTAGACATATCCTCCTTTATAGAGGGGGAAGTCACAACTGCCAACGAAAAAAACAATCACGTCGGACATGTAAAAAATAACTCTATGGCGTTACTTGGTGGTGGGGTGCACGAACCTGCGACACTGCCCCACCCAACAACGCCCACACCTGATAGCAGGGACCCCAAGAAGAAGATGAGAGCTAACAGACCATCAACAGTCCCAGAAGCAGAAATGCAACAACCAGTTGCGGAGGGACATGATGGGGGACAGGGGGAGGCAATAGATGAGACCCTCATAACAACTCTGCAAACTGTACCACAGGAGGACCGAACTCAACCACATCCCCCCCCGACGGAGCGACTCCGAGCAACAGAAGATAACCGCTCAAGATGGGTCCCAACTCGGACATCGGGTGATGCTTACTCCAGGGGATCAGAGGCAGGCAATAGATGGGGCCCCCGTAAATGCTCTGCAAACAACCGGGGGTCAGCAAAGTGTCACTGAGCAACAAAAAAATATTGCTCTCCACGAGTCCCAGCTAAAACATCGGGTGTTACTGACTGCACACCCCGAAGTCCAACCTGCCATGCGGCTTCCTGGCGCGGGTCAAGCCGAAGAAACAGGTAGCGCCCTCATAACGGGCTCACAGCTGTTCCACATGACAACTCCACCCAATCACATTCCCCGGTATCTTCACCACATGTGCATACGCTCCTCCCACTCAGAAGACAACAGGTAGTCTCTGAGCAACGACAGATGGCAGTTCAAAATGAGCCTCGGTTCGAATGTCAGCTGCCACAGTCTGTGAACCCGACACTCCAGTAGTCCCTTGTGAAGACCACAGGTACGCTGGAATAGGTTGGCAGGGATAGTCAGCAGCAGGCGAGGTGCAAGCTCCTGCATTTTGACCATCTGACCCGAGTCACCAACGGATTGAAAAGCTTACTTACAGCGGAGGGGGGTAGCCCAAGACTCACTTCTGAGCTTTTAAAGGCCTCCCAAATGATGTGTGAAGCACTCCGAAAGGCGCTGCTGCAACCTCCCCAGCCCCGTTTGCAGCAGCAGTGTATACCTCAAGATTCGGACTGTCACCCATCACAGTGGCCAAAGATCCCCCTTCCAGCCACGGCACCCGCAATGGTGGACAATGGGCCGACAAATAACGGCAACACTAGCCAACAGCTCGGGACATTCGGCTTTGAGAATATCCCAAACCAGGGTTCGGCCAGCATGAATGACGTGGGTCGAAGCATGCCGGAAGACGCCGCAGCAGCAAGGTTCCCTCCTATCATTGTTGTCAATGCTCTCTGTGCCCGATGCTCGCAAATGTGGGAGGGAACCTATCGATGCGGGAGAGACGTGCTCGACTATGGCAGGGGGTTGTACTGAAGTTTGCACCTCTCTCTGTCTTTGGGTCACTGCCCAACTAGGCTATAACATCTCGCCCTGTTGTAGACCGTGCGTGTGCGCCGTGCGGCAGTCATGTTTGTACCTATCTTCATATCGCACGATTGATCGGGCTCACGTCCTCTCACGCCCTCCCCAACAACAGGTGTCATCTCCGAGATGGTGGGTGCAGGGGAAGCATGTTTGGTGTGACATGTCCCCATCTCCCCTGCAATGAGACACGACTGCTAATGGGTCATGACAGCCTCCTCCTGCACCTCCATATCGGGAGCTGCCTCCTGGTCGTCAACACCGGGACACACCTCCTCCCCAACATCGGGATATAGCTCCTCTGCTACAGTCTCTGGATCGGTCCATCTGGCATGCCAAACAACGGAGTGTTGGAGGGGGGGGGGGTACTGACATCTGAGGCGTGCGTGTCGACCCTACGTCCATGGTTGCGGCACTGGAGCCTGCCTCGCCGTCAAAGGCAATAGAATGAAAGTCTGTGTCCACATGATAACCCTCATCAACCTGTCTGCTCCCCCCCTCCGGCCTGCGACACTCCTCAATGTCCTTCATGATATGAAGGGTGTCTCTGGAGCCATGCAGGAACCCGTCGAGGTCCTCCACAACATCAAGGCCCCCCCACTGTGGGTCATCGTGCACCTTCTCCTTCCCCTTCCCCGCGGCTGCAATCTCCTCAATCATGTCCTTCCCTGCCCACACATCATCCGCCTCACAAATGGCATCCTCGTCCTCCACATCGTAATCATCTTGCGCCTGCAACAGGCGCACACTGGCATGATTGCCCCCTTCCTTGCGCCGGGTGCGCATGTCAGTCTCCACCTCCTCCAGAATCGTCATGCCCTCGGCGTACACCTCCTCTGAAATATCGCCTACCGCTGGCTCTGGCGGCTCCTCCACCATATCTACCGAAACATCCACATACCCCTTCCGGGTAGTCGACCATGCTCGCAGAAGTTGCTTGTTTCAATGAATGAACATGAGCTTCCATAGACTATCACTCGAGAATGTATTGTGCCTCTTCGCGTGGATGAAGTCATGCATGGCCCAATTCCTCTCACATGGAGAGGCAGTGGACCACATGGCAAGCACCTTGATGGCGACTTCTTGCAGCCGTGGGAAGTCGCCACCATGCAAGTACCACCACCAGGCAGGGTGCAACCCGTGCTTCGCCTGTGCGATCACGACGAGGTTTGTCCACCATTTGGGCCTAGGGTCCTCGTGGGGATCATCATGGTAGAACAAGTACAAGTCATACCACATCGTAGTATGCTCCTTTGACCCCGCTCCACCGTCCGCTTATGTTGTCAAATGGTGCAGTGCGCTCTGCACCAATGCGCTATCAGTGTCAACGAGGAGACTCACATCACTCCATCGCGGGTCAATAAGGTACTATGCGAACGCATGCGCCGGCTGGCGCATCATGCCGCAACGGTAGTCAACCCTCTCCATAATCTCAGTCTCGTCTGCCTCTAGTAGGCCCATGTCCTGCACACGCTCTGCGATACTCTTAATAAACACCCAAAGGGTGGTGGGGGAGGAACTGTCTGTGTCCATGGAACGTAACAGGCTATAAGCTGGCCTCATGACGTCCTGCACACAATGTGCACTATCCCAAAATGACGCCAACAACACAAGTTGTTGAACAGGGTGCTCATCCTGCCCTGCCTTCCCCCTCCAGAGGGTGCTCCGCCATCTCACATTGTCCACGACCATCCGCAATATCCTCGCCTAATCGGTGAGTCGCTCCACCATCTGATATGCTGACCCAAACCGTGTATCACATGGCCGGATCAGCTCCAGCTACCCCTACTCCCTGAAGGACCGATGATACGAGAGAGCCTTGTGAATGTTCTTGAAGAACATCGCAACCTTGTACGTGTTCTTCAAGATCGGGCTCACTCACGAGAAACGTGTGATGTCGCGCAGGAGGAGACTCAAGCAATGGGCTGCACAGGGGAACCAAGGGATCCGGGATATGTCTCTGTCCGGATGGTCTTGCAACCGTTGTGCAGCCACCTTGTTTGCATAAGCGTTGTTCATGCAATAAGCATTGTTAATGACATGCTTAACGTTCATATCGCAGATGACCTCCTCCCACAACTCTGCCAGTGCCACTCCAGTTTTATCCCTCTTCGACATGTCAATGGTGGTGATCAACACGGGTTCGTCCTGGCCTGCTGCAATGAAGTTGACGATAGGCTTGTATGACCAAGTCGTTGCTCCATCCGTCATCACCGTGCACCCCGTCATCTTCCACTTCGCCTTCTTCGGAGCGAACCTCTCTGCTATCTCGTGATAAATGTCATCGAGCTATCTCGTGATAAATGTCATTGAGGAGGCGGGTGCGCATGTCAGTGTATGAGGGGAGGACCAAAGTCCGCCTAATCGTGACCCTTGTCAATGATACCATGAAGTCATGCAACTCTTGCGTATTCTCGAGCTGTATGAATGTGAATGGCACCCCACCCCTATACAAGGCTCTGTCCCACAACCTCTCATACTGCTGCCGCAGACCTCCCTTTGCCCAACCGTGACTATCCAACCTTGTCTACAGCGTGAGACGATCGTGGGCCACAACAACACCTGACGGTGCACATGTGCACTTTGTCCTGAGTCATGACAAGTCGGCTTTTCGCCTTGAAGGTTGTTGTACAACGTTCTTCACCTGAGTCGACCCCCCTTGCGCCTCAAGGACGTGGACCCTCTCTTTGGGGATAGACAGCTTGTCGTCCATGAGCCCACCATCGACCCCTCCCTCATCCATCGTAACAGTTTGCGGCCCTTGGGCAGATGACTGTCATTCACGACCACCAACCCTATCGTCCTGCCTCAACATACCTGTCGTTGTGGCAGCTGCCTCCTCGGCTCTCTGCATGTCCTCCATCTCCAACTCCTCCTCGTGGACCTAGAGATGCCTAGTTGCCATTGCCCTCCCCACAGGGTCAGTGATGGTGACCCCGTCCCTCATCAACTTGTACAAGATCTCTCCTATACGGAATCTGCAATGCGCAGATGGGCGGGTGAACTGCTCAATCGCCTTTCTCCGCCCACTGAGGAAAACACTGTTGCACAACGTGCAACGGAGCTTGTATTGCCCCTTCTCTGCACTCCCACCTCCTGCCCTTAACGCACCCATTCCCACACAGCGTGTTTGCTTTTCAACAAGAGTTGTCGAGCCTCATCAGCCTCCTAAAAGAGCGCGTCTCCGTCCTGGAGTTGGGTGAATCTCCGTCGCGAGTCACGCAGCGACATCAGTCTCTCTCTCTCTCTCTCTCTCTCTCTCTCTCTCTCTCTCTCTCTCTCTCTCTCTCTCTCTCTCTCTCTCTCTCTCTCTCTCTCTAACTTCGATGTATGAAGCGCTATAACTAATATTTTTTTCTAAATTCACGAAATTGAGCGTACAAAAAAACAACATTTTTTAGTGTTTTTTTGTCCCCATGACGTCGGATGATCAGATCATCGGCTGTCGTGGCGACTCCTGATGATCTGACCATCGGATGTATGTTAACGACACTTTACGTTGAGGTACATCAGATGGACAAAGTGAGATAACCACTTCCTCACCCAATGAGCAATGAAATTTTGACCAAGTCCACTTTCGTGAATTTAGAAAAAAATGTCAGTTTTAATGAAATGTCAGTTCTATCAACATTCGTCGTGAAACGAACAGCTATGACCTGCAAAGATTGAGAATACAGAGAGAAGATGGGTTGGTTGTTTGCTTCGCTGATTAAATGCTAGATTGATTGATTGGTAGAATGATTGGCAAATTTGTTGGTTGATTGATTGATTGATTGATTGGTTGAATGATTGGCAGATTGGTTGGTTGGTTGATTGATTGATTGATTGACTGATTGATTGATTGATTGATTGATTGATTATTGATTGATTGATTGATAAATTGGTATACATTTTTCTCCTCCTCCTCCTCCTCCTCCTCTTCCTCCTATTTCGCATCTTCTTCTTCATCCTCCTCCCCCTCCTCTTCTTTTTCCTCCTCCTCCTCCTTCTCCTCCCCCTCTTCTTGGTCTTCCTCCTCCTCCTCCTCTTTCTCTTCCTCTTCCTCCTCCTCTTCCTCCAATTCCTCATCTTCTTCTTCATCCTCCTCCTCCTCGTCGTCATCCTTCCTCCTCCTCTACCTCCTCCTCCTCCTTATCCTCCTCCTCCTTCCTCCTCCTCCTCCTCCTCCTCCTCCTCCTCCTCCTCCTCCTCCTCGTCGGCCCTTTCCTCTTCCTCATACCGGAAAAAAAAACATTGTCGGATTATGGTCTATTATCTAATCGAATCAATCGATTCGATTGGATCTTGATTTCCAAATCAAGAACCAATGGAATCGATTGATTCAATCAGATCAATCAATCAATCAATCAATCAATCAATCAATCAATCAATCGATGAATCGATGAAAAACAATTGACAAAAAGTTATCCAATCGAATTGATTGATTCGATTGCATAACTTTTTGTCTTTTTTCCGTCGATTGATTGATTGATTGATTGATTGATTGATTGATTGATTGATTGATTGATTGACTGAATCGATCGATTCGATTTGTAATCAATCAATTAATTTTATTTTATTTTTGTATGAAGAATGATTTAAAAAAACAAACAGAAAAGGCAAGGGGGGGGGGGGCTGTTGCGATGAAGTTGGCGGTGGGTGAGGGGTGCCGTCGTGACACAGTCGGCTTCCCACTCTCTCGACTTCGTCTTCTATATCTTCTTCTTCCCCCTTCTCCTCCTCTTCCTCCTCCTCCTCCTCGTCTTCTATATCTTCTTCTTCCTCCTCCTCCTCCGCCTCTTGTTCCTCCTCTGCCTCCTCCTCCTCCTCCTCCTCCTTCTTGTCGGCCCTTTCCTCCTTGTACCAGAATCAATTACGCTTTCGCCCCTATACCTTTTTTTTTCCCTTATTAAAAAAAAAAAAAAAAAATCGGATTATGATCCGATTATCCAATCGAATCAATCGATTCGATTGGACCTTGATTTCCTAATCAAGAACCAATGGAATCGAATCAATCAATCAATCAATCAATTAATCAATCAATCAATCAATCAATCAATCAATCAATCAATCAATCAAAAAGACAAAAAGTTATCGAATCGAATCAATTGATTCGATTGGATCTTGATAGAAAATCAATATCCAATCGAATCGAAGGATTCAATTGGATAACTTTTTGTCTTTTTCTTTTCGTCGATTGATTGATTGATTGATTGATTGATTAATTGATTGATTGATTGATTGATTGATTGATTGATTGATTGATTGATTGATTAAATCGATCGATTCGACTGTAGTCAATCAATCAATTTTATTTTATTTTTTATGAAGAATGATAAATAAAAAAACAGAAAAGGCAAGGGGGGAGCTGCTGCGATGAAGTTGGCAGCGGGTGAGGGGGGTCGACGCGACACATTCGGCCTCCCACTCCCCTGACTTGGCGCYCCCCCCCCCCTCCCCCCCCCTCCCCACATTTCTGTTCCTCCCTGGCCGCCTCCTCCCTCCTCCTTTCATTGTCTTCCGCCTCTTCTGAGTCGTCCTCCTCCTCCTCCTCGTCTTGGTCGCCGTCCTCCTCCTGCTCCTCTCCCTCGTCGTCGTCCTCGTCCTCGTCTTGGTCATCGTCGTCCTCCTCCTCATATTCGTCATTTTCTTCTTCCTCCACCTCCTCGTCGGACTCGTCCTCGTCCTCATCCTTCCTCCTCGTCCTCCACCTCTTCTTCGTTGTCCTCCTCGCTCTCCTCCTTCTCCTCCTCGTCTTCAACATCTTCTCCTCCCCCGCACTTTCTCCTCCTCCTCCTCCTCCTCCTCCTCGTCTTCTACATCTTCTTCTTCCTCCTCCTCCTCATCCTCGTCATCCTTCCTCCTCCTCCTCCTCCTCCTCCTCCTCCTCCTCCTCCTCCTCCGCGTCCGCCTCATCCTCCTCATCATCATTCGTCGTCCTCCTCCTCCTCCTCGGCCCTTTCCTCCTTGTACCGGAATCGATTATGCTTTTGTCCTTATACCTCTTTTTCCCCCCTTAAAAAAAAAAAAAAAAAAAAGGATTATAATCCGATTATCTAATCGAAACAATCGATTCAAATGGATCTTGATTTCCAAATCAAGAACCAATGAAATTGATTGATTCAATCATATCAATTAATCAATTGATGAAAAAAAAAAAGACAAGAAGTTATCCAATCGAATCACTCGATTCGATTGAAAATCAAGATCCAATTGAATCGATGGATTCAATTGGATAACTTGGTCTTTTTTTTTCATCAATTGATTGGTTTATTGATTGATTGATTGATTGATTGATTGATTGATTGATTGATTGATTGATTGATTGATTGATTGAATCGATCGGATTCGATTTGTAATGAATCAATCAATTTCATTTGTTTTTGTATAAAGAATGATTAAAAAAAAAAACAGAAACGGTAAGGGGGGGGCTTGCTGCGATGAAGTTGGCGGCGGGTGAGGGGGGTCGACCCGACACAATCGGCCTCCCACTCCCCTGACTTGACGGCCCCTCCCCCTCCCCCCCATTTCTGCGCCTCCTCCCTCCTCCTCTCCTCGTCCTGCGCCTCTTCGGCGTCGTCCTCCTCTATCTCCTCCTCCTCCTTTTTTTCTTTTTGGTCTTCCTCCTCTTCCTCCTCTTCCTCCTCGTCATCATCATCTCCTCCTCCTCCTCCTCCTCCTCCTTCTCCTCCTTCTCCTCCTCCTCGCCTTCTACATCTTCTTCTCCTCCTCCTCCTCCTCCTCCTCCTCCTCCTTCTCCTCCTTCCTCCTCCGCCTCTTCTACGTCGTCGTCCTCTTCTTCATCCTCTTTGTCCTTCAGAAGGAAGTCACTCAAACATAAGTGTGGTTGTGAACTGGGGGTACCATATGATGATGTATGTTGTATGATGGACTCTTACGATAGAGGATATACCATACCATAGTTGTGGTGCATGGTCTGTGATAGATGATCCTACCATCTAATGGGATATGGTATACCATCACAATGCGATGGTAGCCATTACTGCAAAGAAGGAAGTCACTCATTTCCACACAAAAACATAGACGAAATTGTCAAAGTTCAATTTCGCGAAAATAGTAAAAAATGTCAATTTTAACGAAATATCAGTTTTCTCCTCCTCCTCCTCCTCCTCCTCCTCTTTGTCTTCTACATCTGCCTTTTCCCCCTCCTCCTCCTCCTCCTCCTCCTCCTCCTCCTCCTCCTCGTCTTCTACACCTTCTTCCTCCTCCTCCTCCTCCTCGTCTTCTACACCTTCTTCCTCCTCCTCCTCCTCCTCCTCCTCCTCCTCCGCCTCCACCTCCTCCTCATCATCATTCCTCCTCCTCCTCCTCCTCGGCGCTTTCCTCCTCCTTGTACCGGAATCCATTAGGCTTTCGCCCCCTTACCTTCCCCTTCCCCCTCCTTAATCAATCAAAAACATAAAAAATAAAAACATTATCGGATTATGATCCGATTATCCAGTCGAATCAATCGATTTGATTGGATCTTGATTTCCAAATCAAGAACCTATGGAATTGATCGATTCAATCAGATCAATCAATCAATCAACCAATCAATCAATTAATCAGTCAATCATTGACAAAAAAAAAAGACAAAAAGTTATCCAATCGAATCAATCGATTCGATTGGATCTTGATTCAAAATCAAGATCCAATCGAATCGATTAATTCAATTGGATAACTTTTTGTCTTTTTTTTTTCGTCGATGATTGATTGATTGATTGATTGATTGATCGATTCGATTTGTAATCAATCAATCTTTTTTTTTTTTTTAATGAAAAATGATTAAAAAAAAACTGAAAGGCAGGGGCGGGGGCTGTTGTGATGAAGTTGGCAGCGGGTGAGGGGGGTCGACACGACACAGTCGGCCTCCCACTCCACTGACTTGCCCCCCCCCCCCCCCCCCCCCCATTTCTTCTCCTCCTCCCTGTCTGCCTCCTCCCTCTCTTCTGAGTCGTCCTCCTCTCTCTCCTTTTCCTTCTCCTCCTCGTCTTGGTCATCCTCCTCCTCCTCCTCCTCCTTGTCTTCTATATCTTCTTCTTCCTCATCCTCCTCCTCCTCATCGTCACCCTTTCTCCTCTTCCTCCTCCTCCTCCTTATTTCCTACTCCTCCTCCTCGTCTTCTACTTCATCTGCTTCCTTCTCCTCCTCCTCCTCCTCCTCCTACACCTTCTCCTCGTCATTTTTCTTCCTACTCCTCTTCCTCTTCCTTGTCTTTTACTTCGTCTTCTTCCTTCTCCTCCTCCTCCTCCTCCTCCTCCTCCTCCTCCTCCTTCTCCGCCTCCACCTCCTTCCCCTCGTCCTCCTCTTCCTCGTCGACCTTCTCTCCCTCCTCATCGTCATCCTTCCTCCTCCTCCTTCTCTTCGTCCTCCGCCTCCTCCTCCTCCTCCTCCTCCTCCTCATCCCTCCTCTTCCTCCTCTAGTTATATACAGTGTGTGCAGGGTAGAAGAGCACATACCAATTGTGCAGGGTAGATACATCGGCAACTCCTGGGCATGTAGCAACAGAGGAGGAGGAGGAAGAAGAAGAAGAACTACAATAGGAGGAGGAGGAAAAGAAGAAGAACTACAAGAGGAGGAGGAAGAAGAAGAAGAACTAACTACACGAGGAGGAGGAGGAAGAAAAAGAACTACCATAGGAGGAGGAGGAAGAGGACAAGGAGGTGAAAGCATTACGATGAGGAGGAGGAGGACGCAGAGGCGAAAGAGGAGGAGGAGGAGGACGAGGGAGAGGGGGAGGAGGAAGAGGACGAGGAGGAAGAGGACGAGGACGAAGACGAAGAAGAAGGAGAAGTAGAAAACGAGGAGGAGGAGGAAGAGGAAGAGGAGGGCGAGGAGGATGAAGAAGAAGATGAGGAGGTGGAGGAGGAGAGCGAAGAAGAGGAGGAAGAAGAGGAGGAGGTGCTGGAGGCGGGTGAAGAGGGAGAACGACCGAAAGCTCACCTCGATGACGATGGAGGAGGACAACCCTCACGGCGAAGGTTCCAGCGGCGGCAGCGATGGCTCCAACAGTTCAACAGCGGGCCAGCAGGCCGTCATCACCGACAGACTCAACATACGGGTTAAGGGTGGGGACGAACAGCAGGCACCACGGCGACGGGGCAGTGGGTTGTTGCTGGGGAAGAACGGTGGGGGCGGGCCACTACCCTGCGCAGTCCGAAAGTGGCTGGCACAAATTCAAATTTAAACATTGGCCCGATCTGGGCCGTCGATATTAGCCGATGGACAGCCCAAATCGGCCATTAGTATTGTGAATCTGGTAGGGCCCTTACCGGATCCGCCCCCAAGATGGGGTTCCAGGGGTTGATCAAAACGTTTGCGCGCCCCTTAACCCACCAAAAAATACCTGCGCCTGTTTTGTGCAGGCCCTGAAAGGGTAATTTCTGGGTTCTTCCGAGAATCATTTTTCGGCTGGATGATACGGATTGTCCAGGGTCAACTGGATATCCGGAAAAACAACTTAGAAATAAACAACGTGGTTTCATAAATGGACTGCATTCCGTGTCAACCTCCCTCATCTCCCCCTCCACCCGCTCCTCTTCTTTCCCCAAAGGTCTCACCCCCCCTTAGGAGGACCCCCGACTGGGTAAAAACGCTCAATCAAGCTGACTTAGATATTAGAGCACTAAACGTGAACAACTTAGTACAAGCGTCACCAAGAAAACCCGTTGCCATCTAGTGAATGATGAAGGGAACAAAGCAGGTAATTGGGCGGATGTCATATGTGTGCAGGTAACACACCTCACACACTCCCCTATGCATAAGGCAATGAAAAGTGGGTATGGTCGTACACATCATTCTCAGCACTGGCCAGATCTGGAGCCTCGACGGGAATGACCATCTGGATACTTCCCTCCTCACGGGTCGTCTCCATGACACATGACCATTATAAGCAAGACGGTAGGTGGGTGTACGTCAAAATAACAATAGGCGAAGAGGAGGTAGGCATTGTCAGTGTGTATGGCCCGAATGATCCCGTGGGCCGTGTTCAGTTCCTTCATCATCTTTACCAAGAGCTTCCTGGGGATCCCCCGCTGATTATTGCGGGGTATTTAATATAACACAGTTAACACTCGATCTGATATTGGATAGACGATCCTCCTCGCAGCGGGAGATGAGGGACACCTTACAACATACCCCGGCCCTGAATGTGGGAATGGTGACAAGATTCATAGCGGCGTTGCAGATCAAGGATTCTTACAGAACGCTCCACCCGAATAAAAGAGCATACACATGTGTTTGCTTAAGAGGAGCTGCAGACACATCTAACTCTCGAATCGATCTTATCCTCATCTCGGACGACCTCATTGGCATATTATTGATAACAGATATCATGACCACCAATCCCTGCATGTCCTTTGACCACAGAGAACTAGTGTTGGGGATCTCCATTTTTAATCAAATAAAAAGGGGGGCGGATTTTTATAAATTCAATGCCTCTTTGCTGAAGTTCCAATCATTAAATGAGCTGGTGAGGACATTTTGGGAATACAGGGCTACCCAATGTGAAGCGACTCACTCCGTAGTGGAATGGTTTAATAATGGTATTGCACAACTGGGGGACAGGATAAAGAAATTCTCAATCAACCATGCCTGGGAATGCAAAGCCATATTCGACAAACTCTTGAAAATTTGGGAGGACTGGGATGAAAAACTGCAAACAACTCCCTTTGATGACGACACTTTTAATAAACTACAAACGGCGATGGACTTTTTGCAGACCTTTCTGGACCATCATGTTGAGGCATGGAGAGTGCAAGCAAGAATACGGCAACATGAAACGATGGGGACAATGGCCAGGGTGGTCTTTAAAAAAGTCAGGGTTAGGGTACCAGTAACAACAGTTGCCACATTGAAACACTCTTTTAACCTGGCCCTCTTTGACGCTACTATTCCCTACAAGATTGTGGCTTATGCGGCCCAATTCTACCAAAAACTTTACACATCGGAATCCTGTCGATGGAGGAATGCGCAACTCACGAATGCCCGCACCCTTATGCTTCAGCATCTTCCAACTATGCTATCAAACCAACAAAGAATGCACTTGGAGACCCCTCTCTCCACCGACGAACTACTGAAGGTATTGCAAGGGATGGAGAATGAGAAGACTTCAGACCCTGACTCTTTTCCAAAGCAGTTTTGGCTTCAGTACTAGGAAGTCTTCAAGACCAGCATCACATAATACGTCGAAGTTGTAAGACAAGAAGGATCCTTTGGTGCTCTAATAAGCCAAGAGGTCACCACCTTGCTATACAGGAAGGGGATAAGACGGATGTCCGAAACTATAGGCCAATTACGATTCTTCCCCTCCCCTATAAAATCTTCCCAAAGTGCTCACAAATAGACTGTTTCCATACATGGTCCACCTCATCCATTTAGACCAGATATGATTTATGCCACAAAACAATATTCAAGATAATGTCTTGCTAGTTAACGAAACTATTAAGTACGCGAGACAACGTAAGAGAGAGGCAACAATCTTGTTCACAGACTCTGAAAAGGCATACGACCATGTGGACTGAGACTTTCTGGACTGCTGCGTTCAGAAGATGAACTTTGGGGAATATTTCAGGGAATGGGTATCCATAATGCATAAATTGGCAACCACCAACCTTATGGTTAACGGTCATTTATCCCCCCCCCCTTCCTGGTATAACGACCTGTTAGACAAGGAGACCCCATTGCCCCCTTCCTCCCTGTCTGCCTCCTCCGTCCTCCTCTCCTTGTCCTCCGCCTCTTTTGCGTCGTCCACCTCTCTCTCCTCCTCCTTTTCCTCCTCCCCTTCTTGGTCGTCCTCCTCTTCCTCCTCGTCATCATCATCTCCTCTTCCTCCTCCTCCTCCTCGTCTTCTACATCTTCTTCTTCTTGTCCTCCTGCTCCTCCTCCTCGTCATCCTTCCTCCTCGTCCTCCACCTCTTCTGCATTGTCCTGCTCTCTCTCCTTCTCCTTCTCCTTCTCGTCCTCGTCCTCCTTCTCCTCCTCCCCCTCCTCCTCCTCGTCTTGTACATCTTCTTCTTCCCCATCCTCCTCCTCCTCCTCCTCCTCCTCCTCCTCATCTTCTACATCTTCTTCCTCCTCCTCCTCCTCCACCTCCACCTCCGCCTCCTCCTTATCATCATCATCATCATTCCTCCTCCTTCTGTTCCTCCTCNTTCCTCCTCCTCCTCCTCCTCCTCCCCCTCCTCCTCCCCCTCCTCCTCCTCTTCTTCCTCCTCCTCTACCCCTTCCCCCTCATCGTACCGGAATCCATTCGGCTTTCGCCCCTATACCTTTTTTCTTTTTCCCCTTGATCAAAAAAAAAAAAAAAAAAAAAAAACATCATCGGATTATGATCCGATTATCCAATCAATCTATTCGATTGGATCTTGTTTTCCAAATTAATAACCAATGGAATTGACCGATTCAATCAATCAATCAATCGACGAAAAAAAAAAGACAAAAAATTATCCAATGGAATCAATCGGTTTAATTGGATTTTGATTTTGAATCAAGATCCAATCGAATCGTTTGATTCAATTCGATAACTTTTTGTCTTTTTTTTTATCGATTGATTGATTGATTGATTGATTGATTGATTGATTGATTGACTCTTCGAGCCTTGTGAGGAACAACGAAATCATCGGCGTATCTTACTAGGATAACTCGGTCTTCGGTCGCCTGTTGTTGAGCCTACTCATTCAAAGCATTCTCCATTCCGTGCAAAGCAATGTTGGTCAGTAAAGGCGATATAACTTGAGGCTCGCCAGAGTTATATATAGTTATAGGCGGCCGAAGGCCGAAACCAGTCATAATGTCTGCTTTCAACAAGGCCTTAATCTGATTCCTCATAACAGGGTATGTGTCTAGCTTTTCCAAGAGGCACGAAGTGTTGATTCGATCAAAGCATTTCGCAATGTCGGCGTCAGGCACATATTTGGCTCTAATGGCTCTAGCCAGAGCTTCCATGGCATCTTGACAACTACGTCCTAGCCTAAATCCATAAGAGTGAGATTGATCGATTCGATTTGTAATCAATTAATCAATTTTATTTTTTTTGTATGAAGAACGATAAAAAAAAAAACAGAAAAGGCAGGGGGGGGGGTTGCTACGATGAAGTTGGCGGCGAGTGAGGGGGGTTGACGAGACACAGTTGGCCTCCCACTCCCCTGACTTGCCCCCCCCCTTCGCTTCCCCCCATTTCTGCTCCTTCTCCCTGTTTGCTTCCTCCCTACTCCTCTCCTCGTCCTCCGCCTCTTCTGAGTCGTCCTCCTCTTTCTCCTCTTCCTTTTCCACCTCGTCTTGGTCCTCCTCCTCCCCCTCCTCCTCGTCACCTTTCCTCCTCCTCCTCTTGCTCCTCCTCTTGCTCCTCCTCTTGCTCCTCCAACAGAAAAAATGTGGGAAAATTTCATCAAGTTTTCTACTCGGTCGCCGCGCCGGACCAGCATTGGAACGACGACAAATGCTGTGGCCAACCGTTGGAGCATCACCGTTTTATGTTTCCAACCGTTTGATCAACACGCGGCCGACGTGTTTCCAACATTTGTTCAACGTTGGTCCAACGTCTTTCCAACGCGTTTCCAACACGTGCGCGTTGAAACAAAAGTGCTATCAGGTTCCCATGACTGAAGTTGACTACTGCGGGCCAATTTAGGCACAATCGCATTGAATCCACCTGAATTGGCCCGCAGTTGTCAATTGGTGGGTTTGGAGGAGGTGCACGGGTCAACAATTGTGAACGCGCACCGAATACATCAAAAAATTGGAGCCCACGAAAGAGGGTCACACCCCCGGGCAAAGGAAGATAAGGCCGGTCGTAGTTGAAGGCCCGCTGAGCTCCCTCCACGGACGATTCTGAATCCTGCAGCATGCGCAGTGATGCGCTCGAGCCTCGGAAGGGGGCGAACGGTTCGCGGCTGTTTGTTCAACGTGGAATGAGATGGTGCCCATGCGAAGGAACTGCCCCCCGCACTTCCTCCTTTGTGCACATCGCCAAAAAACCCTGAAAAAAAAAAAAAAAAAAAAAAAAAAA